TCCTCCTCTGTTCCATAGTTTACGCTTGGGCTGCTGAGTGACCTTGGAGAAGTCACAGCACCTTCTGGGCCTATGTAAAAAGAGGGGAGAATGTTCTGTAGGACTGTTTTTTCAGAAGATACTTCCGAAATTCAGCCCGGGAGGACTCAGACCAGGGAACGAAGGCGTTTCCTCCTCCTCCCCACCTTGCCACTGACAGGACAAAGCTGTGCCCATCAGCACGATGTCATCTGGAAAAGAAGGTCTTTGAGTACGAGCTTTATATTAAAATGGGGGAGGGGATTAATTTAATTCTTATTTTGAGAAATTCTGATGTAAGACACCCCCTCAGGAAATAAAAATAAGATGACAATGCTTTCTTAGAACTTTATGGCTGATTTTGCAGCATTTATTTTCAAATTTTATTCTGTGCAACTGCCCTCCTTGGCTGATCTTGCTCCTGGCAAGCAAAGAATGACCTGTACATTTCTAAGAAGGCAAGGGGAGGGGGTGGTGATAAGAGAAAAGTTGGCGCTAGGTATAACTCTGCCAACTGTTGGGGGCACAGCAAAGGGATGGTGGTCTTTCACACATGTTTAAGATCTGGTTACCTTTAATTCCCCCCGGAGCCCATGTCGTCCGCTAATGGGTGTCTGTCAGCGGAGGGCTCCTGTTTCTCCACTTGCTGCGGAGAGTGGAAACAAAGGGGCAAACAGCAAAGTGGACTGCTCAGCCAGAAAGAAATAGCCAGGCCTCTAGAGCTGGCAATGAGGGCTTCTCCTCAGGCTCAAGGCATGGTAGGACTTAAGACCAGGAGGAGACTCCACCTTTTAAAAGCCTCTTCTCACCAGCCACTTTTACCTTCCAGGTAGACAGGAGCTGGAATAGGTTCTACCACCCTTCTTAGAAAAACCCACTTTTCACACCAAACACCGAGCTTTTCAAAACCAAGCCAAATACTGCTGGTGTTTGGAACAGAGTTGTTTCTCTGTCCAGAAGCCATTAAAAAATATCAAGCAAACTTCTTACATCTCCCTAGCTCCTTACAGTTTATAAAATATTTTTCACTGGCAACAGTTCACCTAATCCTGTAAGCCAAAGCATCAGGTAGACTCCTCATTCTCACGGTAGAGGTAAGGAAATGGAGAGACTCAAAGAAACCAAGCAGCTTGTTCAAGGTCACAGTCACAAAATGCCTAATCCCTGCTTGAAACCCCCCTCTGCAAGGCCTCTCTCATTTCCATTCCTTCCTGTTATCCCCCCCCCCCATGATTGGGCCTGGGCACCCAGAGAATGTTCTTACAACCCCTCCCCACCCCAGAAAGGAGAATATTAACTAATTCAGGATGCAGTTTGCCACCATCACAGACACAGGTGGAGTCCAACGGGCACATGGCTTTGGAACCAGCTTTCAGATCACATCTTCTTCTGGACCGTTCTTCAAGGAACCCACATTAACCCCCCCCCCCCTTCAGCCATTGGCCATTCATGTTTTCCTCACTGCCAAGGCTCTTCCTATAAACCATGTAAAATAAATAACCTCAAATATAACTCTTAATTGCTTCCAAGTCGATGTTTCCTCATCACTAAACTTTATTGCTTCCCAATCTTTAAGATAAACTTCCCTCGGGACTCTGTCCCTTTCAGGAGACAGGCTGAGAGAAGCAGCTTCTCCGAGATTCTACCTGGATGTCCCAGACCCGGAAGATGAACAAGGGTGTCAGGGTGCTCCGAGGCTGCGAGGCAAGGAGAAGCCTCCGAGGGCTGGGCCTGGACTCTGGGAGACAAAACGGGTAAGTTTTCCATCTGCTCGTCGCCCCCTACAGGCCGCATCCGCCATCGCAGCGCGAGCCTATCCTAGCCCGTGCAAGTATTTTGCTCTAGCTAGGTTCATATTTCCCTGGACCTCCGGATTCACCCTCCATTCCCGGAGGGACTGCGTGCGAGGGCTCCACTCAGGGACTCTGCTCTGGATAAGTTCTAAGGACTACAGGCCTCGAAACTGGATTGACATTCTGGAAATGAGTGCGGGAGGAATGGAAACCAGTTTAAATTCGTTTAGCCGAAAGCTAAAATTCTCTCCCATAAAAAATCAACCCCCTTCCTTTTTCTTTTTTTATTACAAATAAACCTGCTTAAGTGGAATAAAAAGTGGATATCAGTCGTGTTGCCTTTAAATCTCAATGTAAAGGGGGATTTCAGTGCCTTTCGTCGCTGGTGCCAGCGTTCAAACCAAATGTGAGTTTCAACCCTCCCCCCACCAAATGCTTACGTTCATTATATATATTTGCATTTTCCCTTCTGCTCTAAACCTTCGTGGTTTAACAAGCTTAAACCAAAAAGAGCTTTCCAAAGGAGTACAGCCAGGTCTATCTCCCAGACATCTGCCAGCACTTTAAACAGCCGCTGGGCCAGCTTGGGGTCTGGATCTGAGAGTTTCCTATTCTCCAAGAAATAAAGGAAGGGGTCCATCTCCAGGCTCTAGTTCAAGGTTGAGAAGTAGCTAGAAGGAAAGTTTCCGGCGGATCTTTGCTCCTCTTCTCCCTGCCACCTAATGCATCGCTGGAAAAAGCCCTGCGGATCTCAAGCGTCGGCTTGTGGCGGAGTGTCAAGCTGCGGGCTCAGGCTCGGCCGGTATTGCTGCTATGCGTGGAAATATGAGCGAGTAATTTTATAAGTAACAAAGGATCAGGGATGGAATGAGGCCTCTGTTATCCAATGTCATTTAGAAGCCTTGGATCAGCAGCTTCTTGAGGCTAAAAGTGAATTCAAGAAGCCCTGCCTTTCCCTTTTCCCAGGGGTGTCAGCTAAAATTAGAAATAACCTCTATGTGTTTGCACAAATCATGTACCATTTGCTGTTTGTGTAAAAACCGATTAGCCAGACACAACTGTGAAACAACTTGTTACTTTTATAGCTGCAACACACAAACAAATTTAGATCCGTTTAGTTTTCCTTGTAAAAGGAGATTAGAGGGGACCCGCCCGGAGACTGTGTGGTCCATAATCTCTTCTCCGTGAAGGTTACTGTTGCTTCTTTCGGCCGCAGTTGATTATCAGGTTCTTGTTTATCAGGTTAAACTATCTCACCCCCAGCAGCTTGTTTTATTTTAGGACCCTGATCCAGGAGGAATGTTTACTCAGGACACAATAATGTTTACTGTTTACCAGGAAAACAGATTCGGTATTTTCCAGGACACGTCTTTCAAAGCGACTCCGTAGCCCACGCCTATAGTAGAGAAAGAAGGCTCGGATCTGAAGCCGGGAGGCATCTCCACGACGAAGAGGCGAGGTGGACGCCACCGACAGGGACTGGCTGTGTTTTGCAAGCAGGACGCGCATAGGGCCGAGCTGACAGCACTGCTTCCCGTTCCAGTTTTAAAAAGCGATTTCGCATAAGTAATTGTAACAGCTAAATTAATTACAAAATAATTAGAATTGATGCCGTTTGAGGATATGTTGGTGGTGATGGGAAACGGCTTCCCGCTCTAGATGTTTTCTCTCTACCTTAGTACTTTTAAGGTTACGACAGCTGAAATGCACATTAAAAATAATCTAGGAGGACATCTCCCCATTCCTGCCCTATGATCTCTCATTTCACACTAACCTAGCCTAAGTTTATTTAAAAAAAAAAAAAACAAGAACTTTTTAAAGGGGAGGAAGGGATGATGGGCACCTATTTTTAAAAGGGTGTTAAGGCCAGTATTCCTTGGCCTTCGGAACACTGCGGGTTGGAGGGAGAGGCATGCACAGAAATCCTTCAGAAATCAAAATTATGTCTGGATTTATTACTGCCATACAAAAGAGGTATATTATTTAAAAATATTATGAAAGAATAGGACAACTATGTATTATTGATCAGTTAATACTCTTGAATATTAATTCCACAAAAAACTAAACTGCCATAACATACATTTAAACAAAAAACTGGAGTTTATTTACCACTTCCACTAGGGGAATGAAAATAAATACTTTCAAAAATTTAAGATTTAAATGCTAAAATGGGGGGATGTTTGTAATTTATGTTTTTGAAGAAGAAGAATAATTGAAATAACCAAGGAAGGACTCTCATTATGGAAGACAGAAGTCTGGTATTAAAAAAAAAAGGTGTGCTGTTGTTTGGGCCAGGTTGCTTTTTTTTAGCGGCAGCTTATTTTGTCTATGAAATATCTGGTCATTCAGACTTAATGGAGTTTGCTATGAACAAGATCCTCTACATTCAATTTTATGTAAATAAAAGAAAAAAATATATGTCTGATTTAAATTAGGCATATTCTTTCCTTTTCTCAATTAAATTTTCCTACACTCAAATGCAGCATAGCTAAGTTTGAAAGGGTCATTACTTGAAACTCCTCCAAATTTTTGGGAAGATAAAACAGCTGAAATTTTAAAATATTGTCGTTTACCTCAGATAAATAAAACACTAAATTAAGCATTTTAAAAATTTATTTACAAAGTTGTGTACAACACGATGGAATAACATTTAGAATACCGCCATATATATGACTATTCATATATAAACAGACTTTTATAATAGGAGAATGACTTTTTACTGAAAATTTTTTTATATTTAAAATCTCAACGTCTCGCATTTCGCTTCTCACATAAAACTGCAGTGAACCTTCAAAAAAGAAATGAAAAGTTCAAACTCTAAAGAATCTACTGAATTTTTCTTAAAAAATAAGAACTTAAAAAGGAAAGTCAATAATAGTACATACAAATATGTACAAAATTTCCTCCACCCCACGGTACTGAGCCGTCGGGGTACATTTTTCGGAAAAGGTCGGTTTTCGGTTTTACCTGTACAGCTATTCCCGAGGCGTGCGGTGTGTTTGCTCGCCAGCCTAGAGTGTAACAAGAGGTGGAGAGGCCGCCGAGTCGGTGTTAGTCGGGGGAGAAATGGAAGAGGCAGAGTCCGGGAAGGATTGGGCAGGGCCGGGCCCGGGGCGGGGGAGCGCACGCAGACTAAGTGCAGCCACCGCCCCGGGCGCCCGCCAGCCTCGGTGTATACCGGCACGTCCCCTATTGAGCGGGCCATTTGAAGCTTCGCGCTGCTGCGGCAACAGCCGCGGCCGGGCTGGCTGCAGGAACGCTGTCGAAGCGGCGCTCAGGATGAGTGCGATGGTGGCCGTCGTCCGGCTCAGCGACAGCGGCAGTGCGTGGCCATGGCGCCACCGGGCAGACTGCACGGTCCCGGGCGGCCTCAGGAAGGACTTGTGCTGCGCTGCCGCCCCCACCGCCCCCGAACCCCCCAGTTACCCCGGCGCCCCAGCGCCCGCCTTGGCTTTGAGCGCCACCCAGCCCTGTGATGTTTTCGATCTTTGGACGACTGACCGCGCGCTCGGCTCGGACGATCCAGTGTTATGATGAGTGGTGCCCGCAGCGCCCGCCGTGCCCGCTGACGACCGCCGCAACACGGGCTTCGGTGAGCTCTGGCTTCGGGTAGCCAGACTGCGAGCCGAAGACGACAACCGCTTTGCGGCCCAGCTCGCCCGAGGGGCAACAACGGCTGCACGACGCGCCGGGCGACAGCCTGGTGCCACTGGCGGCAACGCGTAATGGTGCCTGGACGCCGCGACCAACTGCCGCCGCCGCCACCAACAACCGGATGATGGGCGCCAGCCGCGACCGCGGAAGTGCCAGGCCGATGGCGACCGTGGGGCCCCGCACTTGTCCACCACTGCTCAGGCCTATAAGCGCAAACTCTGCATCATGAGGCATAGATCTTAACACTCGCCGCAGGTGCTCCTGCTGGAATTCGGCGCTGAGCGTTTCCGGCATATACACCGAGCTGCCGTTGTCGAACATGTCCTCGGACTGCGGGTCAGAGGTCCAGTGGTTGCCCTTGCCAGGTTGCCTGCGCGGGGATGTGACAAAGCAGTCGTTGAGCGAGAGGTTGTGGCGGATACTGTTCTGCCAAGCGGGGAACTTCTCCCGGTAGTGGGGAAGCGGTTGCTAATGAACTCGCAGATGCCGCTCGGGAGTCAACTTCTTCTGCGGACTCTGCAGGATAGCCACAAGTGATGAGCGCGATGTGCAGTAGGGCGGCTTCACCAACTGTTCTTGCGCCTTGCCCGGGCTTGCTGAGGCCAGGCCTCCCGCCGCACCGCTGCCCGAGCCGGGCCCGCCTCACGCGCCGCCCTCCTCGCTGCCAACGCCACCTGCGGCCGTCGCTTCGGAAGCGCCCGCCCTGGCCCCGGCCAGTTCCAGTCGCCTCTTTGGGCAATACCGGGGCTGCTGGTGCGGAGGCTGAGCTGCCCGTGGTGAGGCCACCGCTGGCGTCACCTCGTCCGCCCTCGTCCAGAAGCGCAGCTCGGCAGCCCCACAGGGGCTGCTCGCGGCCCGTCGCTGTCCTTCTCCTCGAGCCCGTCGTCGCCCTCGCCCCTACATCGATACCACGTTCAGCCGTCAGCACCGTCTGGCGGACATGTCACTGGCACCGCCGGAAGGTCATCCCTCACACCTCGGGGTTGGTGGCGGCGGGGAAAACTGGCGGGCGATGGGAGTCGTCAGGGGCTGCCGCCGAAAACTCAGGAAGGGGCTTGGGTGCTCCAGAAGATGGGAGGAAACGGAGGGGACGTAGTGGTTCAGGGCCACTCCGGCAGCTCACACTTAGCAGCCCGGCATCGCGCAGCGCAGGCATGGCTTTACCGTCCGCCCCACGGCCGCGCTCTCCAAGCTCCTGCTGTCCTGGCTCTCGGTACTAGGTGCTCGATGCCGCTCCGGGCCACGGCGGCTTCTCCCACGCCCCTCACTTCGCCCGCCTTCCTCGGCCTTGGCCCGGGCGTGAGAGCAAACGGCGCAGGCAGGCGCGCAGGACGCCAGGGGCATAACAGCTCAGGGAGGGGCGCGGACAGTGGCAACAGGGGAGGTGTCAGGGACATGAGCCCCGTAGTCGAAGTCCCGTTTAAGGACTGGCCTGATGGTGCTCTGCTTAAAGATCAGCGGGGCGGGGCCACGTGACCGCGCGTGACGTCAGGGCGCGGTGGAGCCGGCCAAACTCAAGTTGGTTCGGGAATTGTCAACAAGGGACGAGGACGCGCAACTCAGCGCCACACGGTGCGCCATCCCGAGGGCTCCCGAGGCGTCTGGCCCACCCCCCCGGCCTGGGCTGGAGCCTTGCTCGGGGTCGAGGGGCAGCCTGTGGGTGTGAGTGCTGGAGGGTGGTTGTGAGCGCGTGAAGGCGTGGGCCTGAGGCGTCCGCGGGACCCTGCGGCTCGCTGCCCCTGCCCTCCCACCCTCTCCCTTCCCCTTCTCCCGCCCAACACTCCTTGGGCTGGGACTGGGCAACACCGAACTTGAGATTCTCATCCCCCCCCCCTTACCACCCAGGAAAAACTTAGTAACCTCCGTTTGTTTTTTGGGGTTTGTTCTTTTAGCTCTTGAGTAAGGGCTGCTCATCCCGACTCACGTGTTGCTAATTAGACTTCGATCCCTTCTGTCTCAGTGCTCTTCGTGAGAACAATTACTGAGGTGACAGTTCACTTTCCCTCAAGCAAACCACCTGGGTCCTGCCTTTGCTTTCCCCGCTAGATGTGAGCGTGCTTCTATATATATATATATATATATATATATAAATTTTTTCCCCGCGCGGCCACAACAGCGTCAGCTGGGGTTCCCGAAGGTCAGAAAATAGTTATTGATTAATCTATTAGAATAGTTGCCGAGAGAAATAAAAACGACGTAAAATAACAGCGAACCTATAAATAAAGAGGCTGTAACTAGCAGCTGGGAGTTGTTAAACGACTTAGCAAGTGAAAAAGTCGGAAATGAGGCGCTGGGGAAGGAGCCGGGACTGGCAGCGGCCTGGGTAAGTCGAGCGGAGCGAAGTAGAGGATTCCGGGCCTCCAGTTTGGACGCCGCGCTCGGGCTGGGACGCCGGGAGCTGGCGGTGTGACTTCACCGGGCGGCGGGGCCCAGCCTCTTGGGAATGGGGGGCGGCCTCGAGCGTGCGGGTGGGCTAGGCTCTCAGTTGCTGCTAACTCACGTGGATTCTTTCCTCTTAAGGCTTAGGTAAATCCTCCAAGATTTGACTTCCCGCGGAAACCAGTAGCAGAGCGGGTGGAGGAGGCGAGGATGCGGCTGGTACACACCGAGTTTCCTTGGCAAGGAAAATCGATGGTAGGAAAGGCTGTGGGGATTTAACTGGGGTTGAGGGTGGAGGCTCGCAAAACCACCACGGGTGCGTGGCATTGCCAGTGCGTGCGCTTGGACCTCGCACCTCGGGATAGTGCTCCTGACCTGCTGAGTCCGCGATGCGCCACCTCTCCTTCCGAAGTTTTAGGCCGCCTCACAGCGAGCTGCCAGAGCGGGCCGGCCGTGGCGGGCTCCTTGAACCCAAGTCCTGTCTGTCCGCTAAGTCCTGGGAGGAGAATTTTGGCCTCACCAGAGGAAGGAGCACAAGGGGAGCGAGCGGTCCGAGAGGAAATAGTTGGTGAAATATTTACAGAAGACGCTGGGAAACCGATTTAATTCCTGGTGGACAGTGGTGCTTCTGATTCCCTCAGTCTGTGTCTCTCACCTACGACGCTCTCAATCCTTGGCCTAGAAAAAAAAATCCGTAAACTTACTTCATTATAGGCAGTGAGACACATAGATAATCTCCATTAGATAATTTCCTGGCTATAACACTAGTCCATTGGATCTCCATTTCGCAGGACATTCCTGGTTTGTACTGGGGATTGGGGGGAGGGGGGCAGTTACTCCATCCAGAGACAGCCGCGGAACTCCAAAGTTTTTTTTGTGTTTAAATGATCCTCCCGATTCCCCTTTGTACCTGACCCTAAAATGTATCTCTGAGTTGATTTCCGCAGCAGCACCTCTTTGTGGCCCCGCAGGTGCGAACCGTTTACAATGCCATCTAGACAGCCTTCCGTGAAACCGACGGGAGTGGCGCGAGCTGGCTGCCCCCTGCACCCAGCTGCAACTGTCCGAGCAACGCAATAATTACAAAAGGAAGGTTGGAAGGACAAAAAAGAAAAAAGAAATCCGAAATCTGAAATTCAGAAATTACTTTTACATAGCTTCAGTTGTCCAGCTCCAATGCCAGGCGTGGGCCCCAAGCCCCATTACAGCCCAAGAAGCTGGGCTCTCGTGGACGCGTGCCGTGTGTGTGTGTGTGTGTGTGTGTGTGTGTGTGTGTGTGTGTGTGTGTTTGAGAGAGAGAGAGCGCCTGAGCGTGGGAGTGGGAGTGTAGCGGCTCCGGGGGCTGCCCTCGGCAGCCTTCTTAAAGTAGCCTCCAAATGAGCCTAATTTCGATTCTGCTGTCCGCCAGGGCTGGCTCTCAGGACTCCTCGGCGCGGTTGGTCGCTGCCTCACCCTCCCTCGGCCAAGACCTGGCCTGATCCGTCCATTCCCTGGTGTCTCATTGGAACCTCCCTGGAGGAAGGGGTGGGGGGTGAACAACTCCCAGCCGCCAGTTCCATTTGTTGCGCTTTTTTCATTCGACACAATAAAAGTCAAATTAATTGATTCATACCATTAATTACGGCGCGTAGCGTGAAAAGCAACGCTTCCCCTCGGTTAGAGATCTATTGTGCTAATCTCTTGTTCAATCAGTGTTACCATCTGATGCCGGGTCTGGCCCTTACAGAAACTTTTCGACTCGATTAGCTAAATGATGAGACATGCAGGACCTACTGGCTGCGGCCCCGACGTCCGTCGCCTGTGCCGGCCCAACCGCTTAATATCGATTTCCAGCCAAGGCAGCGGATTTTCCCGCGACCACCCTGGACTGGGGAACCCGCCACGGGTTTCCCCCTTCCGGGCTGACTGTAGCACCAGCGCAACCTCCCGGGGCCGGAAGGAGGCAAAGCAGCGGCCCAGGTGGGAGGCCGGAAGGTTCCCGCAGTCCTCGCTGCGGGATGCCGCCGGGGCGGAAGGGCTGGAGCCCATAGCTGTGCAGGGACCTGCCTTTCGCCGACTAGATTCTGGGCTAAGTAAATCCTGTTTGCCTCGTAATTGCAGTTTGCAGCTAAGAGCCCACAAATCGTCAGTTACTGCCAGACTTCAGGACAGAGAGAGACTGAAGAAGCGAGACAGCTACAGAGAGAAAGTGACACATTAGTCGCGGAAAGAAAAAATATGATAGAGGGACCAGAAATATTTGGGGGTGGGGGAGGAGAAATGTGGATTAATATTGTCTGGGTCGCAGAGGGCTACTGGGGAAGATAGAAGGAGAACAAGTACACACACACAATTATTATGAGTGAGAGTAACTACTTGGGTCGCAACAAACAAACTTCCCAAGAGGAATTTAAAGAAGATGGCACCCAGCTGTCTCACCTGTTCAAATGTTTGAAACGTTTCAGCCAAAGGAGAAGGGAATGAGGCTCCCTGCGTTTCTCCTGGGGCCCGTTGAGTCCGTGGTACCCAACTAGGAAGCCACCTGAACGGGATCCTTCGAGGGCGAGGTCGTGGCGGTGGTGGAGGGGACCGAGGTTCTAGCAACAGGAAACAAGAAAAGTGGAGTCTGGATCGATAGAAGGAGGTGGGAACGTCGAGGAGGGAGATTTAGTGTGTTCAGAAGTGAAATGGAATTGGGGAGGAATAGATGGAACAATTTATGACGGAGAAGAGGAAGTTAATTACAACTCAATTTGGGTTCCTAAGTGATCCCTTACTGCGAGAGAGCGGTAAGAGTGTGCAGGAATGGCCCACCTACCCCTCGCCAGGCCCAAGCGAACCCAAGTGCCCTCTTCCTCCTCCTTTAAGTCAGGGTCTATGCCAACAGCTTGAATAAATCGTTGGTCCGAAGTGAGATAGAATCATCACGCCCGTGCGCTGGTGCGCTTTTTCTTATGATCCGGGGAGATGTGACCAGTTTCTGGGCAGTAAGGGGTGCCTCCCCCACCGAGAGCAGCCGCCCTCTATAGCAGAGGGAAGGAAACGTGGGTGGAGCCCCATTTTGGAAAACTCCCTCTTTCTCTCCGCCCCCCACCCTCGTCCCAAGAAACAAAGTCGGCTTCTTCTTGACAATCTTCATAGATATGTTAAACTATTATCAGCCTCTGTTTGGATGGCCACCACCGGGCAAGGTGGGACGGGCTGAGATGACACCCAGGTCCCCAACCCACCCAGATTATTTCTATTTCCAAGTGGGTGGGATTTTCAACTCACTTCCCACCAACCTTGTGTATGTCTCCAGATCTCTTTGGGGTGGGGGAAAAAAAAAAAAAGCTAATTTAACGTTCTTGTTTGGATTTCCATCTCAAAACTTCATTTATTTTCAAGGTGTCCGCCACTCAGGGCCCATGCCAAGAAGTACCTATAAATGGCGAAAGACCAAAGGGAAAGGAGAAGAAAGAGAGAGAGGGAGAGAGAGGATGGTTTCGAATTTATTTATATTGGAAATGTATAAACATCCATTCTGTAAAAGGCAACACGTTTAATTAACGATGAGAGAGCAGTTAGGGGCAGAAAGCTAGTAAAATTGTGTGATAAATTTATGGCATTGTTAGCGTGCTTTTAATTATGGCTATTATGTTAATTATTTCACATTAGCATGGAGTTATCAGCAGCATGTCAGATTTAATCAAAACGAGCCTTTCTCTCGAAAATTGTTCTTTTCATCCACGAGGAGAAAGGTCCTGGGCAATATCGGGGCTTAAAAATGACTTGGCATTGAAAGCTCGTGTCTTTCCG